AAGGAAAGCTGAGAACAGGAGAGGGAGCTTGTCCCAAGAAACGTGGAGGTCTTCCTGGTTTGTACCAAAATTGATAGGGGCTTTTGGGGGAGGAATTTTAGAGCTGTTTCTCCCTCCCCTGACAAAGAAATGTGGCAGTCGGGGGAAAGCAGTGAGATGTGGAAAGGGACATGGATGGTTGAGGAAGGTGGTGGTGTGGGGGTGGGTTTTTTTTGTTTATTAAAATTATCAGGGTGACATTGGTTAATAAAATTATATAGGTTTCAGGTGTACAATTCTATAATACATCATATATATTGTATTGTGTGTTCACCACCCCATTTGGTTTGCTTTTTGTAATTTGTGGATTGATAAATTTTAACGATAAAGGAACAAAGCTGACTGCCCCACCCAGACCAGTTCCCTGGCTGCCTGAGAGCTGTGGAGAGGGCCCTGGAGTAGTTAGAGGGGATTAGTTAGGGGCGGGGCTGAGACTGGGTAAATCCCAGAGATTCCAGGATCCCAAGGGCAGGTTTTCTTTTTTTTTTTTTTTTAATATATCTTTACTGATTTCAGAGAAAGGAAGGGAGAGGGGGAGAGAGAGACATAGAAACATCAGTGATGTGAGAGTCATTGATTGGCTGCCTCTGGGCATGTGCCCTGCCTGGGAATCAAACCTGGATCTCCTGGATCATAGGCCAATGGTCAACCGCTGAGCCACTCCGAGTGGCTGAGTGCAAGGGCAGGTTTTCATGCCCTGAGTTCACCCTCAGCCCCCAACTTGGTAACTGTCAGTCTTGGTTATCTCTTGGGAAGCATCTCCAAACAGGAATAATTGGCCCCTTGAAATGTTCTGGCTCTGGAGTTAATGAAATCCTCTTGCTTGCTGATGTGACCAAAGCTGGAGAACCTGATTAAGAAGAACCGTGCTCCCATGATGCCTTGTAGCTGTAGTTTGGCAAAAAAATTAACTAAACCTTGATAATGAGATGCACTTGGATTCCATGTCCTGGGAAGAGATGTTTGCTTCCAGGCTGGAAGAGTGTGGGTGTGGGTGAAAGTTAACCTTACTCAGGAGCAGATAGTGGGAGCCATAAAAGGAGGTGTTCCCAAAATGCAAAACACAGGCAGTGCAGGGGAGCCTCGCTACAGGGGTGAGGCCTGGAGAGACTGCAGGGGGGTTGCTGAGGGGCAGTGGGTCAGCTCTCAGTGTGGAGCTGGAGAAGGGGGCTGATGTTGGGGTCTCCGTGTTCAGGCAGGAGGCATGCAGAGCGGGTGGGCCGTCTGTGGGGATGGAAAGGGTCCTGCTGCTGCTTTT